CCAAGCAAACAAACAAAAAAGCATTTATGATCTGTGTGCCCAGTAATTCAGAAGGAAGGCTTTCCTTTCACACTTAGAACAGCCCAGCCACAAGCTCTGGACCATAGCTATTTAGAACAATTTGGGCCCCACAGGACCAGGAGTCAAATGAAGCAATCGGTGTAGCAGTCACTACCACAGCCTGATACAAAGGAGGCCCCTGCCTTTGTTTGCTTCCTTCATCCTTAAACCTGCACCTTTCCTGTGCCTTCCAAGCATACAACTGCACCCCAGCTGTGTGTCAGCAGACAAGAGTACACACCCTATCCACCCTGCCTTCCTTAAAGAGAATGAAGTATTTTAAAGAAAACATCAGGATTGTCAGGCTCCTGCATTGTACTAAAGTTTGTTTCATGTTGCAGTGTCCATAGTACAAATTATGCTCTTTCTGTGAATGCAGAAAACACTTCCCATTCCCCTCCTGTACCTAAATTCTTGTAAAGTTTCCTACTGTCCTTCCCGGGTACACACAGAATTTGCACAGGGGAGAGGCAGTGCAGTGGCGTGGTTGGGCACTTATACAACTTGATACTTTTTATTGTATAGGACAATGGTTACAGACCACAAAGATTCGGGAAGACCCACTGCTTGGGCCCAACAAAAGACAATATTCACCCTCTCAATTAGGAGTCTTCTGGGGTTGCAGGGGATAGGCTTTTTCCCATATGGCTTTGGTGGGAAGTCCACGACAGTACTCAGTACAAGAAGAGGCACATCTGAGCCTAGCTGTAGAGGGGTGAGTGGATAAGGTGGGCCAGACTCGTTTCAATTACTTGGGTGTGACCCTGAAGACGCGGATGTGGATGGCCGAGTTGTTGCGGATGCGAGTCAGCGGCTCTCGCGTATCCGTCTCTGGTTCCAGCTCATCAACAAGCTCCACGGTAGAAGTATTGGCAGCCACCTGCAAGGACCCGAAGCTGCCAGCCTGCAGCTGGAGGGCAATGTTGATGGCGCGGTTGATGGCCAGGCCCAAGCCGTGAATGTAGATCTCAGTGCATGCGTTCTGACCCCGCGCCCCTCCGTCCAGCAGCTTCTGGCAGCGGGCCAGCTGGGCCTTAAAGTCAGTCTTCATGTTGACATAAATGTCATTGGGCCTCCGGGGCAGACGGTGGGGAAGCCGCTTCCGCAGGGTGTACTCCACCGGGTCCAGCTCAGTCTCCACGGCCCCGCGGGGCTCTCGGTTTTCGGCCATGTTGTGTACTCTGGCATGAGAAAGGGACTAGATCAACGAGAGGTGACCGGCGACTTCGCTTCCGTCCCTACCCTGATTCCTGCCCAAAGGGTGCAGCCGGGAAGAAGGCGCACTCGACGCTCCTCTTCCCATCCCGCCTCTCAGTCCCTCCCACTCACCTGAAGCTCCCGCATCTCCCCAACCCCAGTTCTTGTTCATTCATCACATCGCCCGCAACCTCAGGCTCCTCTACCGCCCCCTTTCCCCATCTCTTCCGTGCCTACTCTCTCCGGTCCACAACTTCCGCCACGCGAACGCAGCCCGCTCCCCCGCCAGGCCACTTAAGCGTAGCGCCGACCAGCCTGAATAGAGGCTGCTGCCCGCGACTCCGAAGCCGTAAGAAGGGAAGAGAAGAAAAGGGGGCGCCGCAGGAACGCCAGAGCCCTGGAGCCCTAGCGGCACCTGGCTCCTGAAAGGGTTGCCGAGTGCGCGTGCGCGCCCGCCCCCCGGGGCCAAGCCCGCGCGATCCACGAATCGCCTTCCCGGCCTCCGTTCTCCCCACCCTTTCCTGAGTGCTCGCAAAACCGCGCGAGGTGTTTAAGTAACGCGAGGTTTCCGGAGGTGATGGGATCTACCACGTGTACGTCTTGGAGGCGGGGCGCGGAGGCAGGGGGCAGGTATCAAGTCGAAGCCGGGGAGGAGCTGGAAAAGGGAGAGTCAGCTTCCCTGGGCCAATCCAAGTCTCCGGTTCGCGGAGTCCTGAAGGGAAGAAAGGAGGAGAGGAGGCTATTCTAGGGGCCTGGAGGATTTAGGGGTAAGGGGCTTCCTTTAAAGACAGCAGGGAGAGGAGCGAGTTCTGGGGAACGTGATCTCGAAGGAGCCCGAAGTCAAGTCGGGACTCCCGCGTCCATCGCAGTTCATCTGGTCACAATTTGGCGTGGCAGAGTTGGCAGGCCTGACCTCCCTCCCTAAGATCCAGTTGCCCAAAGGCGGGTTATGAGACCCGGCCCTTGGCGGAGGACAGCGCCCCTGGACCCTTCCGCAGTTAACGGGGACCCGTCCTTCTCCCCTGTCTCTTACTGGGCTGAACCCCAGGCCAGCCTCTGGGGACCCAAGCAATGAGCCATAGGCCCAGACTTCAAGGCTTCCCTGGCCCACTCGCTCCCCTCAACCATTTTCACCAGCTCTTCTGCCTCTCCCTGCCACCTGGGATCAGGGGCTTGCGCCCCCTGGCGGGAAGGGCGGGAGGCGTCTGGGTGTGGGTGGTTCCCCAAGGCCGGTGGGGAGGGGTTCTCTGGCCCAGACTGGTGTGCCTTCTGGAGAGCTCCATTCAGAAATGAGTTAGACCTGCATTGGCTACCTCGACTACTCTTCGCTTGGGTTTCCACATCACTCAAATGGGGATTATAATTCCTGTCTTGCCATTGAGTTGTGAAGCCCAATATAATATTGTAAACTGTAAGCTACATGTGTGAGCTGGCATTTTTATGCCCCCAGACCTCTTTCTAGTTACCTGGGGTGGAGTCTAACCCCATTTGACTGGAGGTTGGAAAGAGGTCAGGCTCCTGAGAACTTTTCTTCCAGCACTATTTAAATCCTGTAGTTCTCCTTTTAGCTTCAGATTCTTACAAGTTTGGGGGCTTATTCAGGGGTGAGGAGGAAAGGCTGGCTACAACCCTATTCTGCTTCCGAAGTGACACGTGAGCTGAGTTTTGATGGATAAACAGGAGTTCTTCAGGGAACCAAGGAGTTTCTGGAAACACTGAACAGTATTTTTAAAAGAATGAAAGCATAATGTAAGCTCCTCGCTCAGGGAGCTAGAAAAAGAAGAACCAAATAAAGCAAAAAGGAGAAGATGGGAAGAAATAAAGATCAAAAAAAAAATCAATGAAGCTGAACACAGAAAAATAATAAACTCAAACTAAAAGCTGGTTCTTTGAAAAGATCAATAAAATTGATTAGCCTCTAGCAAGACTGACAAGAGAATAACAGAAAGAAGATTCAAATTATTATCAGAAATGAAAGAGGGGATAGCAGTAAAGATCCCTCATACGTTAAAAGATGCATAGAGTAACACAAACAACTCTACATACATACATTCCACAACTTAGATGGACCAAGTCCTAGAAAATCACAACTACCAACCCTTCCAAAATGAAATATATCATCTGAATAGTCCCATAACTATTAAAATAATTATATTCACAGTTTAAAAAAAACTTTAAAAAAATCTAGGCCCACATGGTTTTACTGGTGAATTCTACCAAAAAAAAAAAAAAAGGAAAGAAAGAAATAGGACAAATTCTACACATTCTCTTCCAGGAAACAAGAGGAAGGTACATTTCCCAACTAATTTTATGAGGCCAAAACCAGACAAAGATTATACAAAAAAAGAATACCACAGACTGGTATCTCTCATGAACAACACAAAAATCCTCAACAAAATGTTAGCAAATTAATCCAGCAGAATCTACCATGTTAGCAAGCTAAAGAAAAAACACATACGATTATATCAATTGATGCAGAAAAACCATTTAGTACCCATTTATGATAAAAGCTCTTAGCCAAAAAATAGAAGGAACTTCCTCACCCTGATGAAGAGCATCTACAAAAAACCTACAGCTATCATCATACTTAATGGTATAAGACTGGACACCTTTCTTTTAAAATCAGAAACAAGGCAAGGATATCTTTGCTTACTACTCTCATTGTTGGAAGTCCCAGCCAGTGCAGTAAGACAAAGAAAAGATTGTAAGGGAAGAAATGAAACTGTCTCTATTTGCAGATTACATGATTGTATATACATAAAAAATCCCAAGAAATCTATTTTAAGAAAAAACCCATATAACTAATAAGTAAGTTTAGCAAGTTTGCGAGATACAAGATTAACATACGGAAATCAATTGTATTTCTATATACTGGCCAATAAACAACTGGAAACCAAAACTTAAAACCATTCACAATCACTCCAGAGAGAAAAGGAGAGGGGGAGGAGAAAGGGAAAGGGAGGGAAAAATATTCAGGTATAAGTCTAAAAAACATGTGCAAAATTTGTACGCTAAAAACTACAAAATGCTGATAAAAAATCAAAGAAGATCTAAATTAATGGAGAGATATACTGTGTCCATGTATTGGGAGATTCAACATAGTAAAGATATCAATTCTCTCCAAGTTTAGTGCAATTCCTATGAAAATCCTAGCAAAAATTTTTGAAGATACAGATAAGTTTACAGTAAAATTTATACAGAAAGGGAAGTCAAAGCAATTTTGAAAAATAAGAAGGTGAAATCACACTACCTGATTTTAAGACATACTATATAAACACAATATCAAGACAGTGTGGTATCTGCCAAGGGATAGACACAAACATCAATAAAATGGAATCAAGAACCCAGAAATAGATTCACACAAGTACAGCCAGCTGATTTTTGACATAGGTGCAAAAGTAGCTAAATGGGGAAAGGATGAGTTTTTTCAGCAAGTGATGCTGAAACAACTGAATAAATTGGCAAAGACTGGACCTCAGCCCCATGCAAAAAATTCACACACATGAAACATAAAATTATAAAACTTTTAGAAGAAAATATAGGAAAAAGTCTTCATGACATAGGGTCAGGCAAAGACTTCTTAGCTACAACTCCAAAGGCACAATCCACTACAGAAAGCCATTGATAAATTCTACTTCATCAAAATTAAAACCTTTTACTGTGTGAAAGACCACCTGGCCACAGACCGGGAGAAAAGATCTGCAAGTCACAGATCCAACAGAGGACTTGTATCCAGATATATAAAGAACTGTAACTCAAGCATCAGAAAATGACTCAGTTAGAAAAACAGGCAAAAGTCTTGAACAGACACTTCAGCAAAGAGGGTATAAGGAAGACAATTAAGCACCCAAGATATTTGACATCATTCACCATGATGGAAATGCAATTTAAACCATGATGAGATACCACTACACACCTATTAGAGTGTCTAAAATAAAAGATTTGGATAATATTAAGTGTTTAGGGGAATGCAGAGAAACTGGATCTCTCATGCACTGCCTGTGGAAATGTTCAATGGGCCGGCCACTCTGGAAAACAGTCTGGCAGTTTCTTCTAAAACTAAACATACATTCATCATATGAATCAGCCAGCGCACTTATGGGCATTTATGCACTTGTATACACGTGTCCAGAGTAGTTTTATTTGTAACAGCCCCAGACTGGAAACAATCCATGTGTCTTTCAATGGGTGACTGGTTAAATAAAGTGTGGGCCATCTATCCCATGGAATACTACTCAGTAATGAAAGTTGGATCATGGAAACCTGTTAGGCTGTTGGAAGACTGATTATATCATAGAACAGTACAGTGCTGAGCAGCTCATAGTTGACTGTGGAAGGCAAACAAGATGAACAAGACAGTGTGACCAGGGCTTAGCCAGGAGCACGCGCAGTGTTCGGTAGATCCCCGATGTGATGTTGGGGGATCCAATGTTTTCCAAAGGAAGCAATGGCTCAGCTGAGGCAGGACTGTCCAGCAGTGGGGCTCATATCCTGTGCAGCCCCTCCAGTTACAATGGAGAGGTCTGGAAGGTCTGAGCTCCAGGAGGTAGGGAAGGAAGAAGAAACCAGCAGAGGATTCAAAGGAGTGGTTGATGAGATAGGAGGAAAACCAAGGGAGTAGGGCCATCTGGAAGCCAGGGGAAGAAAGCATTTCTTGAAGGAAGGAGTGACCAGCTGCATCATATGCTGCTGACAGGCCACACAAGATAATGGCCCAGTGGATTTAGCAATGTAGAGGTCATTGGTGACTTGACAGGCAACTACCCTAGGCTGACCAAAGACCTTAGCTCATGGCAGAAAGGAATTCTGAATGCAATAAATAATTGTAAGGACGATTTTTATCTGCTAATTAACAATAAGCACAGTTTATGAACTATCAGTTCATTATTCAGGTTGTATGTCTTTCCATGGCATCTAAAATACGTTTTCCAGATTTTGACATACCGATAAATATAAAGGTTAGCAATTCGGGTAGGGGAAACCAGGCCCCGTAATACACTGATTTGACACTAAGATGGCCCTTTTCATTTTGCATTTCATTTAAGGCAAACACCACAGGGGAATTTGTCATTAGGAAAAAAGGCAGAGCGTGGCAGTTTAGTCTTACTTGAGACCTCCCTTTCAACTCGATTAATCATCTAACCACATCTCTTTGTTTAGTTCAGAAGCTCCCAAATTGAAAATAACACAGACCAAGACATTTTCCAGCACAGTACCTAAAGAAACAAAAAACAGCTTAGGTTAGGTCCAAGTGATTGCTTCATAATTTTGTCTTTAATTTTGTATGGGAGATTCACAGTTCTGGTTTGTTTCCTTTCTCAAAGAGGGTGCTTAGACGATTCCATTTCCACCATGTCATTGGCAGCAGAAGCATTCCCACTTTACAGGTGGGGGAGTTACTTGGTCAGGGTCACAAGCTGGTATGCGGGGAACCTGGGTGATCCATGACTCTAGTCTTCTACCCCGCAGTCCAGTGTTCTCTCTTGGACACAGTGCATCTAGTGAGTGGGTACTACTCTCTTATCAGAAACATTTTATAATAGCATTCGAAGCCCTCACCTGAAGTTTCACTTCAGTTCTCATCCAACTAGCAATCCAGATCCTCTTCTCCCATCAGCCTGGATTGTCAGACACTATTCTAAGGCTGATGCCCACTTTTCTTAAATCTACGCAAATCCTGCCCTTCCTTCCAGTTCAGCACAGGACCCCACTGTCCCTGACTGCTTCTCCCATTTCTCCACCATAATTTACTAATTGACATTTGCTAATTGACAATCAAAACATGCTAAGACCTTATTCAGAGAGTAGACTACTGGTAACTTTAATCGCCCAGGACACAATCTAGAAAAGTTAAAAAAAAGAAAAGCTTTTGAGTAAGCAGAAACTGTCATCAACTTAAGAACTTTATTCTAGAAGAATTCTGACCCAAGATTGGATTCAGTTGATACATTTTTATACAGGGTTAACAATCTGAGTATTGTGGACCCTACTAGCTAACACTTGTGGAGTGCCTGCTTGCTCTGTGCCATGCACTGTGTTAAGTGCTTTACCATAAAATTCAGAGACCCAGAGATTAATAAAGTTGCCCAAGGTCACAGTCAGTAATGGATGGAACCAGCACACAAGCCATTGCTTTAAACAATGCATTTTCCAGCCTGTGAGCAAGCAGCTCCACTGATGACACTGAGGCAGGAATCCTGAAGAAAGTCAAGGGAACTGAAAAAAATCAGACGCTAAAACTGCAAGTGCATCGAAGCCTGGGATGTACTTGGTGCAAGAACAAAGGGCCTTCCTGGTAGCTCGGGAGGTCCACGTTTCCTTATGGCATAACACAGGGGACTCAAGCTTCAAGTCTGAATTTACCTTTCCCTGTCCTGAGAAGAATTATATTGTTTGGCTGCTTTAGGAAGCAGAGAGGTAGAATAACTTTCAAAGAAAATAGTGAAAACATACAAAACTTTTTCATCCTAAAGAGTTCAAGGAATGGGAAAAACCATTCTTGAAAACCTCCTTTTTAAACAAAGGAGGTGTCAATCTACTTCTCAGATTTGCATAGTAGTTTCTCTCTTTTCAGTCTTTCACACTCACTTATTTCAATTCTTTCAGCACTCTGGGAAGGGAGTGGGATGGGGGCCCGGGATGCGGCGGAGGAAAGCATCAATGCCTTACTATGAAACAGAAACTGAGGCCAGAAAGGGTGAACTCTTTCACCCACGAGGTCCAGAGAGCTAAGGGGTGGCGGAGCCATAAACAAACTCCAGATCTCACCAGCCAGTGCCGCCTTGGGCTGTTTCTAAATCATTAAGTCCTTCATTTATTTCATATATCCCACGATGTCGGATGAACACATGTCTGGATATCTGTGGTCTCCTTCAACCCAGACGGGCTTCCTGGAGGAAGCCGACTGTCGGGAGGCCGGCGACGGTGCTAGCCAAGGCCTCCGTCGCGATGGTCGGGCGTCACGTGCCCGGGGGGCAGCCCAGGGGCACCCTGGGGACACGCCATCCCCCAGCCCACAGTAAGCCTTGTCACGTGAGGAACCGGGCTCACGGGTCAC